TCCAATGCCAGTCCCCCGTCCTGTAGCCTTCCAACACTTGTGAAGTTCTTTGCATGGACCGGAGGACGCAGGTAATAACCACAAACAATTCTGTTCGCATCACTCGCCTGTTTTCCTGTATGTGTTAGGGGCTTCTGCGTAGCGCTCTTGAACAGCTTGAGATCCCTTTCACGGTAGCCCGAGGAGAAGGCGCCTTCTATGGCCCAAAGATTGACATTCATCTTCCAGGCGTAGATGGACGGCTGTGGCAAACAGGGACTTTGCAGGTGCCTAATGCACGTAATTCATTTCGAAGCTTTCACGCGTTGCATTTCTACTCCTGTCCAAGTGCTAGACAGCATTGCAACCACCTGTAGAAGCAGACTGTACGCTGCTTTTCTTCTCGGAGATGCTGCTGCACTTCTGCAGGTTGATATGTTTTCTCCCAAGAACTTCGGTCTTGAGCCCACACCCGAAAATAATGACCGTCTGTGTCTCCTGCACCGCGCGATGTGCGGTTCCCTTGAGCGTTTTCTGGGCCTGGTGCTGGAGCATTTAGATGGCCACTTGCCATTTTGGCTGGCACCCACCCAGGTAAAAGGAATATTCAACTATTAATCCATTAGTACAAGATTCGCAACTTGTGCTAAAACTGAAATTGTTAAACAAAGATATATATTATATAGTTTTAAAATAACATGGCGCTGAAGGTGATTGCTTGCCTGTTCTTGGTGCACATATCCATCGCCCTACTAAAACGCAGAGCTGCAATATATGCACATTATTTGTGCTGATCCTGCGAGAAGGTGGCAGTACTGAATGTTGGAGAGGGGCAAGTGACTGCTGCAGAGGCTTTATCTAGGCGTCTACGCCGAGCTAAAGTACGTGTGTCACTCGACACACGACCAGTGCACATTTCGAGGAAACTAAAGTAAGGTCAACCATAAGCCCTTAAGTAGAAAGTATACATTTTGTATCGTACCCTATAAAAGGATCTAAGAGCCCAAGCATAGCGGCAAATCGGCACGCCCTCCCTATTGAGCAAGAAGCATATCCTAGCTGCCACGAGGAGGTACCAGATAGAAGGGGGCTTCATCATTGTAGTCGCAGTTTACTCATGGACAAAGGACAGTTTTGTCTGAATATATATATATATACATATATATGTATATATATATATATATATATATATATATATATATATATATATAT